GCAAAAAAACTTTTCTGAAAGCTCCCACGCTACCTCTGCAACCCATTTCTAAATCTTTGCAAGCCTCGCTCGGAGCTGGAACCAGCTTCCACCACAACAGGGACCTGATTTTCTGCAGAACATTTCCACCCTGCATTCTCAGCTGGGGTCAGGGAATGGTAAGGAGGAAGGTGACAGAGTCCTCCTCTAATAAGGAGCATCACTTATTGAGTACTTCAGATCTTACTCAAAATTCCTTGCTTTGAGCTACTACAAGCTTGAAGGGGACACAGCTGACCCTGCTTTGAGCAGGAGGTTGGATGAAATGACTTCCTAAAGCCTGTTCTAACCTGAATTATTCTATGGTCTTCGAATCCAGGTAACTTTCAGGACATCTTAAGACAGATTTTTTTAAAAAGGATGCCAGGTTAATTTCTATTACAGTGTCTTTAAAGTGAGCAAACTCCATTGGATAGTCATGGTAAGAAACTTAGGATATATGGCAGCTTCCAAACTCCAGGAATCTAGTCTGGCTTTATGGATCAGGTTTGCCAAGATTCTTCACTAACAAAAGCAAAGACACAATCTAGAATTTGGAACGGAAGTGTCTGGGTCTGTATGGTTATGTCCAAAACTAAACGTCATCTTATGCGAGACAGATTAAACTACCTTATTCATGTGTAGACCTTTCTCTTATTACAAGAAAAAGCCAAATTCTGTATCACACAAATTAAGAGGTGATTATTCCTCAGACATCTACTTAACAGCTGCAAACTTTTGCTGTAAGATGATTTTCATACAGAAATTATCACTGTGATCCAAATGCCACCAAAGCAAATGGGAATTGTGACAAAGAGATTGAGGGGAAAATATTCCATTCACAAGCCTGCCTGTCCCAAACCAAAAATGCTAACTTCCAGCCTGACGCACTCGACAAGCGAACAAAAATAATAGTCCCTTCCAATACAAATTCAAACAGCCAGTTTCACGTATAATTTTACCAGTAACACAAAATCTGAATCCTTTTGAAGAGGTCAGTGACATCAATTCACTTTAACCTTAAATATAGTGATGTGATCCCACAGTTTGCTAGCATACAAACTATTTTTAAAATTGCTACACCACAAAGTATTAGCCATAACCATCCCTTGCCCCAAAGCAGTTACTTATTTGCTAGTTCCTACCAAAAATCAGAGAAGCAAAACCAGCCCAGTGTAATTTCTTTTTTAAAAAAATTAAAAATGTCGCGCTCTTGGCATTTACTCCTTCTCTTCGCTACTTGGCAAGCGAAACGCCCTGAGAAGAAACTGCTATCAGACCGCTCCGCTCCCTGCAAGGACTCTTACAGCAGAACTGGTGCCCGCTGGGAAAAGGCTGATGTCAGCTCTTAAGAGCTCCCTGCAAGGATAAGGAGGCCTTTGTTTTCAGCTGAACTGTGAAAATGAGAAAATGCCTCCAGCCTGACAAACAAGAAACCCACATAACGCAGGTCAGGCCTGAGACCTTCACTTAAAGGTACAACGCACTTCATTCACGTTCCCCTGACATCACAATGCCCAGATAGAGTTAATTTTACACAGCAGTTGCCATGAAATGTTAAATACACCTTGGAAATATAACAAAGCAGCTTCGTTTGTTAAGACAGACTGGTATAGCTCTCCAGCCACTCTACCCATGCATAAAGCGCTTGTAATTCTTATATAAATCAAGCTCCTAATTACTCTTCTGTAAATCAAGGTGATTTTAGTGAAGTCATAGGAAAACAAAGGCATGTTTCAACTTGAGGCTTAAAATAAGCTTGCTTCTCCTTTACAAAGCACCCGAAAATAAAGTATGGTACAAAAAGCACGTTTTACTTCAGCAAGATTATACTTTAGCGATTACATTAAGTAAAACATTTGAGGGACACACAAGAAAGTGTGAAATGAAAATAAAGCAATTTCGTATTACAGTGCCTAGTTTTTAATTTGGGGTGGAAGTATTTGTTTTTTCCCAAGTAAGGAACTTATGGATGTAATCTCTGTGACCACAAAAATACAGAAGCTGTGTAAATACAGTCCAGTAAGCTGCTGTAAGGTAGACAGTTTCACATATTGATTTTTAAAAATTAATCCACAAGGTCTCAAGTACATTTTATTACCCTGAAGCTGAAAATTATCTCCTCTGAAAAACAGACCCTTTGATAAATGGTTCTTTGCACAGGAATTCCATTACATATTTTAGAAACATAGTAGGATTGCCAGGGCATTTGATTCACTCTACTCCAGAGACTGTACTCCAATAGTTGTGTTTTTCCATGATAAAAGTAAACATACCCAAGTACAACTCAAAGAACCTAATCAAAGGAGATACATCAGGGAGTTACACCTGAGCAGGGAGTATCTCAAAGCATTCAATTTCCAAACAAAAGGCTAGCATCACTGGATTTCTAATAAAATATCCAAAGCATTTAAATGGATCCATTCCCACAGAAGCACAGTGACCGAGACGCCAGGGTGCTGGTACCGAAGAGTTAACATCAAAATGCTAACAAAAGGTTCTACCATTTATAATGACCACAATACCCTGGTGTTAACAGGATGAATATACAACTGCTCCACAGTTCTACCAACGCAATCACAAAGACCTGAATGTCTGAACAAGAGCTGCTTGTGGTTATAAAGACTTCTGTCTTCTAAGCGCTGACTTCCAAATGAAAAAGATCTGCCCATCTGGACATTTAGAATAATTGAAGACATTCAGCCAGAGGAATATGGATTTAAACACCGCTGTGTGGCAAAGATGTGCGGTCTGTAGCCCTAACATTGACTGGGGCAGCTATGCCTAGTTTTTCTATCACCAACTCTTTCGCCCTATGCTTTCAGGGGACTTCGTCCTGAAAAGTTCAAAATACTGAGACTAAGCTTCATCTTTACAGTCCAAATCACAAAAATGTCTCTGCTATCACCAAAGATATCGTGCCATCTAGTCTCCCCATCACACTCCACATCTCTTATGGATCTGGTTTTCTAAACTTAATGTCAAACTTGCACTTCTAGAACTCCCAAGTCACTACAATGTGACTGCCATTATTGTGTTCCATAAAATATTTCTTTCCCCAAATCTACTAATTTTCTTTACCGCGAGCAAGTCAAGCTTCTACAACACACTTCCCACCTCCAAAACAAAATTTTTAGAACAGTGCCACAAAGTTTGAGTATTCCATTTCTGTTGTTAAACCAAAACATCATAATCTAAAAAAGAGGGAAAATATGAAAAACAATCAAAAAAATAATTTGATTGGTGGTGGTGGCGGCAGGGAAATGGAGGTAAAATTCGGAGAATGTTTGTGAATTTTTCTGATCTATCTGAAATATATAGATATTCAGCTATTTCAGATATATCACAAAAGTTTGAGGTTTTACAATATTCAGTTAAAGGCATATTTTCATACGGCCAGATCAAACTTACAAAATAAAGTAGAAAAAAGATGGCCTCGTGTATGCTATTTTAGATTACGATTCATCTGCAGTAGATGGTTTAACTGAAATAGATTTAGTCCCATCACATGAACACTAGGGCAGACAACCAGTGCTTTTTATTATAGGAAGAAAAGATGCACACTTCATATACAAAAATCACAGAAAGAATCTATTGAGTAAAAACGTAGCACACTTATACCACGTATAAGTGAAAACATACCATACTAGAAAAGATCAGATAGCTTTAAAATACCTCTAAGGGATCACAGGAAATAACTGCCTGTATCTTTTAGTTTTGAACCTTCGTTGCACATGAGTCTGTTGGTTCAGACTTCATTATTTTTATGGCCTCCACTGTATAAAGTGTTATAATGTACGTAACTGCCAGCTGTGTTTTATTTCATCACTAGCAAATGAGTTCTAAAAAAAAAATCACACCTTTCCCCACAAAGTTACATAACAATTCAAAAATGCCACAAATTTCTTCAGCTGTGTCATGTACGTATGCCACAGAAATGCAGCATACTGTTCTTTCCAATACCAGCATTCTCAGCTCCAAGGAAAGGCTCTAAACAGTTAAGATTTTAAGAGAAAGAACAAGATATGTTGTAAATAAGAAGCCTCTTTCTGCTTGTGAGCTTTTATTGTTTTGCACTGCTTCAGTGCTGGATTCCTGATTTGTAACAAATTCCAAGACTGCAGACTACAGGCCCAGCCTCTGACTAACACTATAGTGATTTATTTGAGGATAAATACCTCTGTCCGCATCTTATGACTGAACACAACAGTCCACAGCAGCGTGGAATGTGAGGAATGCAGAGGCTGCAGGAGCTGAGGCAGCAGGGAAAGGCGCACAGCTATCGGGCTGCCCTGGACTGCTGAACCGCTCGGATCACTTCCTCCAGTCAAGAATGAAAGGAATTCTCTAAGCCTGTACTTCATGCCAACCAGACTTGCATTCCCAGGAATGAGAACACAGCAAGAATGGTATTTGATGATTACCCAACACATGCACCTAACTCATCAACACCTTACCTGTGTGAAAAATTCCACATCTGACTGTCAGAGCTGCGGTGCAATCCTTTAAGTAATGTTTAGCAACAACTGCAGCTTGCCCAGTTGTCAAGGCAGACTACAGAGCAGCTGGCTCACAATCTCCTGGCCTCAGAAAAATGCAAAGCACTTCTGTTTCCCCTCCTTCTGCTTCCCCACCCCCATCACAGCAGAGAGTACAGAGCACTCAGAATCAGGGGAAGTGAAAGGAGCAGATTACAAAGAACAAACGAACAATACTTGAGAAATTGCAAGGTGAATACGTATGTTTTACTATAAATAGTCAAGTTGAGCTAATTCCTGTTACTTCATGCTGTATGAAAACAAAAGAAAACAAGAAGTCACCCATCTAATCACACCAGCCTTTGTGCAAATCTTCCACACAAACTGGAACAAAGGAAAAATCTAGCACAAAGTTTTAGACACAGTATGATTTTAGCACACACAAAAATGAAGAGGATAGCATTAAATTCTATGAACCAGCGGTAACAGAAGCAAGACACTTACAGATGCGGATTGAACATTCGACTCATTTTAGAAACATGGTCATTTTCACAGTCTAGCTCATCATCCCCTTGGTCCATGCTGAGCTTTCGCTTGTTGGGACTGATAGGAGGAGGGCCTGTTCGATGGTTGGTTAGAGCAGAGGATACTGGAAGAGACTGCATTCTGGGCTCACCTCTTAGAGCTGCTTCACCTGCAGGAAGACAAGTGAGAATGAACACGACAGGGAACAGCAAGGCAAAACGGCATGCTCTTTGAAAACATTCCTGCAGAAAAATTTCCCAACCAGATGTCAGGTCTGCACAGGCACATTTAACATGGTTGTAAGATAAATAAGGCATCATAAACCATACTTTAGTGCTTTATGCTGGAATAAACAGGTGAAAAAATGTAATATGAGAGGGGTCAACTCACCCCAGATGATCCGAAAAGTTGAGCTAAAGCACCTTTCCAACAGCATTTTTATTCAGAAGCATTTCCTTTTACAAGCTGCCATTCCAACACTGAACTTTCATTACCTCATTCTGTAAAGCATGACTATTCGCAATGAAACACGCTTTGTTCCTTTTCTTATGGTTGTGGTTATAAATTCCAGGGCTACAGTTCACATTTATGCCAAATATTCAAAATCTAAAACTGAATAAACGTTCAAATTCTCAAATGATTCCTTTTATAAAAAGCTATCCAAACCAAGCTTGTCTGGTATATAACTATGCAAGGTAAAAATTAGGGAAAAAATTGGAACTTGCTGATGCAAGTTTTAAATTTGTCCTTAAACGTCCTCTATACTTTTAAACTACGCTTGAAGCAATGAATGAAATAGCAGAGATCTTCAGCAGAAGAATCACAAAATTTCAATTTTAAGAATGCTAATTTTCAACTAGGCAGACTGATGGTAGAGTACTGTGTAGATTATACATTTTATATAATCTAACACTTATCAGAAAATGCCATTCACAGCACATGGGAACTGTGTATAAATAATTCCAGAAATGATACAATTAGCTTGCACATAAACATATTCACGTATTGTTACTAAGCATGCATTAAAGTGTGACCACAGTACTTTTCCCATTTCAGTTAAATGTCTCACTAAATGTACACCCTAAAGCACAGTGCTGCATTTCACCAGCAGTTATGGATTTCACTGGAACTTACATCCTTACAGCCACAGGTCATATTTAGACCTCATAGGGATTTAAAGATGTTAAAAAAATGCTTTCGGGGCTTCATAAGGGGCTTGGAGAGGAGCTAAATTAACCAGGGTTACCTATTCTGGTAATGTCCCTGAAATAGCCACTTCTGCTAGAGTTTAAAATTTGTATTTTTCCTACACTGCCAGAAGCATTTTGTTTTCTACATGGCCATAATTTCCAGGACTAAAATTAGGATAAATTTAACTCCATCGACAGCCCTGAGGTACCTGACAATGGAAATCTTTGTATGCCACCACACATTTTCACATCATTGCTGAGGCAGATGATTTATAAAATGCTGCCCTAATTCCACACACGACAAATACTATTTTGTTGGAAAAAGAACGAGCGAGGAGAAAACCTCCTGAATGTTTACCAGTAAAAATAAGCATTTTGCCAATTTAGTCAGCATAATATAAACTAGCAAATATACACTGACCTATAATACACCACAAGTCATGATTTCTATTAAAGACTCTGGCACCAAATCTAAATAGGAACTTTCCATCTCAGCTCTAAATAGTAAAAACTGTGCTCTACTGCAAAGGCTCTAAGACAGACATCCAGACCCTCTCTTGTTCAAAACAACCAAAGTGTTAATTGGTAAGCCCCCCACAACCACTCTAACGTCACAAGAGCAGCTTTTATCAAAAAGACCTCCCATATGAAATAATCTTCATATCAGTAAAATTTCTGCATTTTTTTCTTCAGCCTTTATATTTTGCCAGTAGAAACCTCCACCTACATAACGATCATATTCTAAACGTACTTAACTTTAGAAGTAAACCACATCATACCAGTTTCTCTCAGTGAGGAATCTCCCTCACTTCTACCTTTGAAAAAAGTAAGTTAATACCAATGTCAAAGGATAAACTTTCATCGACTAAGTTTTATGATACTTTCATCCCACCCATATGCAATTGCTCTTCTCTCTGCAGTACCTCATATCACTTCTGAAGACTCAAACACAAAATTCCACAAATTCAATGTAGGCACCTAACTCCTACTGACTTCTCCTGAGCAACTCCTGACAGAACATGGCAATTTAAATATCCATGTAAAGCTAACTCTGGTGTTTACAAAAGACAAAAACCTCTAGACATTGTCTAATTTAGTACATTAGAAACTTTTCTTCTTTCCCAAACAGTGACTAGGACCCTGATACTACACAATTACCTCAATGTTCTTTTTTTTTCTTTCAAAAGAAGTTATAAATATTCATCTTATTATATGCATGGTAACGACAGCATTTATAGATGAACATCCAGATTGAGTACAAAATCTGGTAAAAATGCTATTACTATTATACGTTGAAAATAAACCAATTTTAAAGAAATTTAGCAAGGAAAGGAATGGCTTCTAATTAAAGCTTGTCAAATTTGGTAATGCATTTTCCTAATTGTAAAGTAATGTGGTAATTATGCAGGGGACATCAAGGCCTTCAGATATGCTGGACAGTTCTGGTATGTTTGTCTGCAGCACCACCGGGCTACTCGGCCAAAATTAACCAAATTAAGCAAACTTCAAACAGGTGGCAGTGGTGAGCAGGTAGGAGCAGTAAGAGCTCTTAGAGGACAGGTTGGAAGATACTGAGCACCTCCTCCTGAGCAGAAAATACAAGTGGCCAGTGCTTAGCATCTTGTATGGTCCACCTTGCAGACACAAGGCAAGCAGAGAACAATACCAAACAAAAAAGTCCAGATAACAGGGTAGGATCAAGAGGAAAAATATCTCTACGTTGTTCATGGGGATAAACTGCATATTCCTACACTGTATTTGTACTGCACCAGGGGTTCTCCTGTAGCCTATAAGTTTGATTAGGGCTAAAACTGCTTTTTATTTAAATAAAAAGGCGTCTTCTTTCCCCACTGCTTTCCTCCTTACCAAACTTGAATTTAAACCAGAGAGGGAGAAACCACAGCAGAGTCTACCACACAAAATGCTGTTTTACTGACTAGATTTGTCTCCCCCAACTGACCACACTCCATGGTAACCAGACTCGCATCATACAGCTGGCAAGACAACACTCTGATAAAACGACTGTGTTTTATAAAATTCCCCAAGTCCAAACTCCAGTCTTCAAAATTCATTACTGTGACAGTTTGTGTCTGCACTGCAACTGAAAGCAGAGATAGCAAACACATTTATTGTGCCTCTTATAATACTTCTCTTTGTCTCAGTAAGCAGCTGGTGTAAGGCACTCCAGATCTGCTGCTTTCAGATAGTTCTACTTACAACTATTCATACTAGTCTCTTTTTTTCTTTTTTTTTTTTTTTTTTTTTAAAACTGTTAGGCAACGTGATAAAGCACAGACAAGCTGAACAGAGATAACAACGTGACGTAGTGTCTGCCTATATAGCAGTACTGCAGTAGCGCACTCAGTTGACAGAAGTCCCTGCAGTCAGCTAGAATGTTCTTTATTTTAACCACTTACAAGCCTAAACTGAAAGTGAGTCAAATTAACACGTGCAAACTAAATGTTTGTAAAACCAGCATGGTACTTTTCAGGAGATAGTTCTCTCTATCTTTTCAGGATAGTTCTCTGTAAACAGTGATCTTCAACACTGTTTGCATTTCTCTTGTGGTTCAGTCAGCAGTATCTGTGTCCCTACTGAAATGCCCATGCAATACAAACATCACAACAGCAAAAGTCATGTTTTTACAAGTGTGGATTTGATAGCAAGACACCAGAGAAGTCTTAAAATATGTCTGAGAACTCCAGGAGTTACCAAAGACTGGAAAAAAAAAAAAAGAAAAAAAAAATACACACTATTTTGGCAGCTAGCTTCCTTCCTCTCTGACCTAGCAACTCAGTATGTGCTGCACTAAGTCATGGCTACCATATCCTATTCCCCCTCCCAATTTCCTCTCTCCTGCTGGCTACTATTAATGCATAAAATCTGAGCATTAATTACACTCCAGAAATGAAAGGCTTCATCTTTCCTGCTGAAGATTGACATGATACAGACCTTAAGACAGACTGAAATAAAACTCTTTGAAAGAAAATTCCAGCACTGCCCTTGACCATTTTACTTTTCCATTCTGCATCTGACAAAGGGATTTGTCCACAAGAGTAAATTTCTGACACATTTATTAACTTGGGGGGGAAAAAAAAAAAAAGGTAAGAATAAGAATTCTCGGTTGTGGTGTCTGTCAACAGGGTCCTTACCTTTACGGTCTTGCATTGAATTACCAGGACCTCAGGCCACTCAATGAATAAAATCATGGGCACAAGCATTTAACAGTCTTTAATTAACATGCATTACACCTTTAATTACCTTTTCCAATACCTCCATGCAGACAAACTCTCATTAGTAAAAGGAGTTGCCTCATGTTCTCAGGGACAGACATTCCCAGGAATCAATAGCACCTGAAGATCTTCAAGGGCAGTTTACTGATTCAAGATCAAAATTTAGCCCTCATGACATACAAAACTTTTCTGCTGAAAAGCCAAGACACTCACAAAAGCCCTATATATATGTGAAAAAGATACTATAAAATGAAATGTCTTTTATTTTCTATTACTATATTCTAACAATCATGAGGAGATTAAATCGCAAATAAATTGGAATGAATTCATAAACTATTGCATGTTTTCTTCCACTATCTCAAACACAGAAGTCAGTCTGTGCCAACATAAATTGGGATAAATGGCATAAAAATTCCAATCCATGCACAAAAATCACATGATTTGAGATATCAAATACCAAGCAGGGAAGTCACCGCAAATTAATTCAACAAGTCATCAAAACAAAAGAATCACAATACAGTACCGCAGAATTAATCTGCGGATGTTGTCAGCTGCCTAGTTTGGGTATTACTTCACACCACAGTATACATTGTAAGAGAATTGATATCCTTGAAATTGTGAAATTCCCCAGAAATTAAATCTGTGTAAAATAGTTAGACTACAGACAATCTTAAAAGTATGTAATTTAATGCAGATTTACTTCACTTGCTTGACCAAAGAAAATTAATTAATCCATTCAGACTCCT